CTAGTTTCGAGTCGTTCGGAGGTCACTACGCGCGTGATGGAATTTTAGGAGCATCGCTTGGCTTGCTCGGTATTGGAATTGGCTTGTTCGAGGTAAGTAACTCTTCTAAACTTAGTGCTGAGGGTATGAAACCCCGAATTACGAGCTATGTGATTGATGACGAGGTGACGCACATGCTAGGTGACGGGCATGTGGGCGTGCACCCGGTGAATTGTGACTTTGTTGTTTTCATAGCACTATTTAGTGGCCCTATTTTGTTGATATATGTGTTTTCACCATGTGATTAAGTAACTGAGTTGTCAATCATGCTAGATATCCTCTTTAGGCTTTATGCTGATATTGTTAGGACCCATAGTGGTCGTTTCTTACTGTCATCTCACTGATTTCATTGATATATCGTACTCAGTCATATTCATGCATTCGTATATCTCGGTCTCAGTTGTCGTACTGATATATCATATCATTTTTGTCGGGCTAGTTTCATGACATTATGAGCCCGTGAGTGAGACTGGAGAGATTGATGATTGAGTGAGGCTGAGATCCTGATTATGAGTGACGGTTATGGGATCGGGCTGCATGCCGCAGCATGTTATATTGATTTATGCCTGGATCTGGCTTATGATAGCGCTTGGGCTGTAGGAGCACCTCCGGAGTCTGTACACACCCCCAGTGAGCGTGGTTGATTATATTGAGGGATGGATCTTCCCTGGACGTGGATCTTGTCCGAAGCATTTATATACCTGGAGATGGATCTTCTCCATGGGGCCGGATTGGCCTTCCTCGGTACTGAGTGACTAATGGTCAGTGATGTATATGTTCCGAGATGGATCTTCCCTGGGCCGTATGGACCATATACAGTACCGAGTGGTTGAGCATGATGAGTGGAAAGTGTGAGACAGTGAGATTTGGTACTCTGAGAGTGTGAGTACATGATTCATCTCCGAGATACATGGCATTGGCATGCACACATGACATAGAGGCATAGAGATGCATTTTTCCTCATGATGTACGGTATCACGTCATTCATGACTTTTTACACACATTGATATGTGGGCGTAGAGAGGTATTTTACACTTGCTATCTGGAAAGAAAATGTAACATCTTATTTATTGTGAAAAGGGTTTTTATAGTTTTCAAACTATCTCTTATTTTTCGACGACTTCGGTAAAGGATTTCGGTTTTCACTGTTATTCTTGAAAAGCGGAACTATTTTCGGAAAATTGTGAAAAAAGCTGAGCAATTTATTTCTGAGTTGCTTCCTTATTTATATGCTCTACTTTGTTATGAATTGTTATTGGCTATTGGTGTTGGACCCGACCATGTTCCAGCTCGTCACTACTTTCAACCTAAGGTTAGGTTTGTTACTAACAGGTACATGGGATCGGTTGTACTGATACTACACTTTTGCACATTGCGTGCAGATGTTGGCTGCTGAGGGTGCTGTGTTCGACGGGAGCTGGATTTGAAGATGTACCTGAGTTCCTGTTGTAGTTGCCTCTTGTTCACGGTAGCCTTAGATTTATAAAACTCTATTTATGTACTTTTCAATCAGAAGATGTATTTTCTTCATATCAGCTTTGTAAACTCTATTCGTAGAAGCTCATGATTTGTACTACCAATCCTTGGAAAATGTATAAGATTCAGATAATTTCTTTTACTTAAATTGTCTTATTAAATATTATTGGAATTGGATAGTTATTAGTTGGCTTACCTATCGGGTTGGGTTAGGTGTCATCACGACTAGTAGATTTTGGATCGTGACAGAAATGGTTGATGGTAGAGGAGATTATAGTTAAACAAAAATCTAGAGTGCATTGGTTAAAGTTGGATGATGCTAATACAGCTTACTTCTACGCATGCTTAAAGAATAGGAAGGCACAAAACCAAATCAGGATTTTGAAAAATTCTGCAGGTCAATTGCTGCAAAATGCTGGAGATATAAAAGAAGAGGTACTGGGATTCTATACAGGTTACTTGGTCAAGTTGCTCATCAACTTCCAGCGGTTCAACAAGACATAATGCAAAATGATAGGATGGTGAATAGAGAACAACAACTGAACCTTATCAAACCTGTCACAAAAGAAGATGTGGCTGAAGCAATCAAGGACATTGGTGATAATAAAGCTCCAGGTTGTGATGGTTTTAATGCCTTCTTCTTTAAAAAGACCTGGCCAGTCATAGGAGAGGAGGTAACACAAGCTGTTATAGACTTTTTCAACTCAGAAAGCATGTACGGAGCTATTAATTGTACAACGATTACACTGATTCCTAAGGTCAAACACCCCTCTACTATAAAAGAGTACGGGCCAATCTCATGTTGTACTGTGCTATATATGATTATTTCTAAAGTGCTTACAACTAGACTGCATGGAGTAATAGACCATCTAATTGATAGTTTTCAAATTGCCTTTGTACCTGGAAGACTGATTGGGGACAATATCATTATGGTCCATGAATTAGTAAACGAATATGGGAGGATGAGCATTTCACCAAGATGTATGCTTAAAATAGATATGCAAAAAGCATATGACTCCTTGGAGTGGCTATATCTTAAGCAAGTACTGAGAATGATTGGCTTTCCAGTGATCTTTGTTGAATGGATAATGGAATGCATAACCATTGTTACCTACTCTATCATCATCAATGGCAAGACAACTAAGCCCTTTGCAGCTAGGAAGGGACTGAGACAGCGCGATCCCCTCTCCCCCTTCCTATTTGTATTAGGCATGGAGTACTTAAGTAGACTGCTGAAGTCTTTGAAGACTGCCCTTGGTTTCAAGTATCATCCTAGGTGTGCCAAGCTAAATGTGGTCCAACACTCCAACTTGGATTTGCAGATGTCTCCTCCTCTTTTGTAAAGGAGATGTCCAATCAGTTAAAGCCATGCATGACAAGTTTCAGATGTTTTCCAAAGCCTCATGACTAATAGCTAATTCCACCAAGAGCTCAGTCTATTTTAGAGGGGTCTGCCTAACAACACAAGCAGATTATGGAGGTCCTAAACTTTGCTAGAGGTGAGTTATCCTTTAGGTACTTAGGGGTACCCTAAGCACCAAAAGAGTATCTATATTACAATGTGAGCCCTTAATTGATAAGATATTGGGGAGAATAAGCTCATGGACAACCAAGTTTCTCCCATATGCTGGTAGAACATAACTGCTCAAGAGTGTGTTGTTTGCCATCCAAGTTTCTCCCATATGCTGGTAGAACATAACTGCTCAATGGACACAAAAAATGTGCAAAGGGAGGAGTGCACGGGCTGGCATCTATCGCATTACTCTGCTGCATCTGTGTATTACTTGCGGCAAGAGAGGAATCATAGAATATTTCAGAACCAAAAGAAGGCAGCAGAAATCACTGTCCGATTGATCATTCAGGAGGTCTATTTCCGAACGAGCTTATCCCCTAGGTTGGCTACTTACAAACAAAAATTGAATTACTACCCTCTATAGAATGTGAATCCAGCAAAATTTGAATAGCTTGAAAGCGTGTGAGGCAGTAGAAGGCTTTACTGAGGCATGTAGAACTGGAGCCTGTTTGCTCAGTCTAATGTTGTTTTCTGTATAGTTATTTGGAACTGTAAATACCCCACCATTTGATATATAAAATACGATAATTTGATCAAAAGAATATTCTTTGTAATTATAATTGACATTTCCTATGCAAAATTGCATCAGCAGACAGTGATACCATTTAAGGTGATTGGTTTGATCCTTCTATAGTATGATTCTTTAATATTCAAGTTTAACCAGATACCAACTGAATATGATTCACCAAGACAAAAACAAGTTAGTATATTCTTGTTAATGGCGCATTCAGAATTTAAATTGTGCGTTCTTAGTTGAAAGAATGAATTCTAAAAATATAAAGTTAAGTCTATTTATGCCACGTTTTGCTTATATTTGGGTTCCGCGTATAGCGGGAGCTTAATGTACGGACTGTCTTTTTCTTTTTTCTTTTTTTTTGGGCATAAATTTGGGATTCGAACCATATATATTGAGTTCTACCGAACTCACGACTCTATTGTTGGATTTGCGCACAAATGATTCTTGCTGTAGTCATGTAACAACAAATATATAGGATTGTATTTCGATAAACCGAATTCTTCTCTCCTCTTATGTTGTTTCATTTCTTAACTTCCAACGTATATAAATCATGGGTTTATTTATCTATTTTTGACAATTTGCTTGTGACTATGATTTAATTACACTATATGTGAATTGAATGGAGAGAGCTAGATCGAATAAACCAAACTTAGTCCTCGTTCGGTAATAATTAAATATGGTTCATTGATGAACCAAAAAATTTGTAAATCGAACCGAATCAAATGGATTGAACTGGCTGAATGTACACCTTAATTCAATCTTCGTCGCTAGCAATAGGTTTGTATTAAAAGCAGTGACAGCCGTAACCTTCAAATACTGAATTTGCCTCTAAATATACAGGATTTGACCCCAAAACGTTGATTTCTATCGAACCCCCGAGCGCATTGATGGATTTGCCAATAATTCTTGCTCTAGTGAAAACAAAAGTTTAACTTAATCCAAATCAAATTTTCAAGAATCCAACCATAGTTGTTTAGCTTACGTAATGAATGTACTAAAATCACCAATTATTGAATCAACTAATGTCCTGTTATTGGATTCTCAGATGAATCAACAAACATATCCAGCTATAATTGACACTACAGAATATCAGAGAATCCTTAATTACATCCAAAAACCTAGATTATCCCTATGTCTTACCTTGATTTTCTCTCAAACTTTTTGTCATAAATATCTTAATACCACATTAACCTTTTTCAAAAAAACCAAAAATCTTCCATTTTTCTCTTTCTCTAAATGGCTCCAAATTATTCAAACTTTTTATTATAAATATCTTACCCCCATCAACCTTTCAAAAAAAATTACCAAAACCTTCCCTCTTTATATTTCTCTAAACCAACAACAACAACTGCGCCTCAGTCCCGAACAGGTTGGGGTCGGCAAATTATTTTTTAAATGGATCCAAATTATTCATACCTTCCACAAGGTCTAAAGCCAGATGAATCAACACCACATTGGTTAAGTAAAGGAGATAATGCATGGGAATTAACAGCAGCAGCAATGGTGGGCTTACAAAGTGTACCTGGGCTAGTAATTTTATATGGATCAATGGTTAAAAAGAAATGGGCTGTAAATTCAGCTTTTATGGCCCTTTATGCATTTGCAGCAGTTTTAATTTGTTGGGTTTTATGGGCCCATAGAATGGCATTTGGTACACATTTAATATCTATAATAGGCAAACCAGAACAGGCTATGACTCAAGATTTTTTGCTAACAAAACACTCTAATTATTATATTCCAACAGCAGATTATGTATTTTATCAATTTGCATTTGCTGCTATTACTGTGATTTTATTGGCTGGTTCTTTACTTGGTAGGATGAATTTTTATGCATGGATGTTGTTTGTTCCACTTTGGATTACATTTTCTTATACAGTTGGTGCTTATAGTATTTGGGGTTCTGGATTTCTTGAATCTATTATTGACTTTTCTGGTGGTTATGTGATTCATCTTTCATCTGGAGTTGCTGGATTTACTGCTGCTTATTGGGTAATTTTACTAGACATTCTCTTTACTTTTTTATATTTTGAAAAAATAGAAATCCTATAATTATAGGGGAGCCTTGGAGCAACGGTAAAGTTGTCTTTGTGTGACCTATAGGTCACAGGTTCGAGCCGTGAAATCAGAAACTTGGGCACATGGGAAGAATCACCTAGTGTTTTTATTAGCATTGAAAATGTTTACTATTGTAACTTTTACATAAAAGGACAGCCCGGTGCACTAAGCCCTCACTATGGCGAGGTCCGGGGAAGGGTTGGACCGCAAGGGTCTATTGTACGCAGCCTTACCCTGCATTTCTGCAAGTGGCTGTTTTCACGGCTCGAACCTGTAAGCTCCTGGTCACATTTGAGAAAATAGAAGTTCTACAATTTTACTATGAGTAAATTACAATTTTGAATCATGCTAAAACTATTTTCAAAATCAGTCCATATGATGATATTTGACTGAATACCAAGTTTAAGAAAGAAATAAAGATTTTTACACAAAAACTATATCTGCAATTTGACAATGTATGTGTTGCCCACATGCAGAAGTTGATCCAGCATTTGAATTTTAATGGTTTAAAGTTTGAGTTCATCGAAAATACGGGTTAAAAATTTAAAATTTATTACTTTTTTAGGATTATTTTTTGACATATACATCTATGATCTAAGTAGAAAATGTGGATTCAATTGAACCTACTTCTATCAATATTTAAGCCCGCTCTTTTTTGCGTGTATAACATACCAAAAGTACCTTTATTCGACATGTCAGGTCATATTCTTATAAGAGCATTTCATTAAGTTGTGAAATTGGAAAGCTAAAACTAAGGATCTTCGATATATAGAAAGGTGTTAATTTTTTTGGGACGGATCAAAAGGGAAACTATAGTGTCATATAAAACAAAAATAGGAGTAACAAATAAGATGGCACTCGAAAAGATTTCTCAAACAACAACAACAACAACAACAAACTCAGTGAGTTCCCACAAGTAAGGTCTGGGGAAGGTAGCATGTACACATACCTTACCCCACTCTAAAAGGACAGAGAGGTTGTTTCCATTTCTCAAACTATAGGAAATTATAAAAATCAATTAAAAAGTCTCTAATTCATTATTAAAGGTAAGAAATTTTGTTGGAAGATAGAAATTAGAACAAACAGAAAAAACACTTGCAAACAGTGGCAGATTTAGGGAGCGGAAGGGTGTTCACCCCAACCTCTTTCGCCGACAATGTACATATAAAATAAAATCTGATTTTTACCTCTATATATTATGTTTTGAATCCCCTTAACACACCCTAAAAGCATAGCTTAGTGGTCAAGGTGGTTCAAAATCTTTGTAAGGTCATTGGTTTCATTCCCACTAGCTGTAACCTTCTTAATTTTTTTTCTATTTGAACCCCCTTAGCGGTAATCCTGCCTCCGCCACTGCTTGCAACATTATTTTGAGCTTACATAGGATGATAAAATAATGATTATTGGGATTTGATTGGCATAGGTTGGACCAAGGCATTCACAAGATAGACAACATTTCCCACCAAACAACATAATTCACATGCTTGGAGGTGCAGGTTTTCTTTGGATGGGTTGGACTGGTTTTAATGGTGGATCTCCATTAGCCTCTGATCTAATCACATCATTAGCCATTCTCAATACTCATCTTTGCACTGCCACAAGCTTGTTGGTATGGCTTTCAATGGACATGATATTCTACAATAAAAGTTCTGTAATTGGAGCTGTCCAAGGAATGATCACTGGCCTTGTTTGCATTACCCCTGGTGCAGGTTAGTAGTTACTAATGCAAGTGTTTTAGCTTAAAAATATCAACTTTAATTCTCTTCTAAATGTACAAAATGTCCAAGTAATAGGAAATATTGGGTAAAGTTCACATAAGGTGACTGAACCTTACCCAATATGACAACAACTACCCAGTAGAATCCCACTAGTGGGGTCTGAGGAGGGTAGAATATACGAAGACCTTCTACTGTCAATATAACAATAGAATAAAATATCAACTATTTTGTCACATCGAAGTAACAATAGATTAGCAAAAACTTGAATACCAATACATTGACACAAAGAGGGACCTATTTATAGTGTTGAGGGGTCATCGGACCTCGTAAACTTTGGCAGAAATATTGTATATGAATATGTGCATACCTTGAAAATGATTCTGCAAATAACTTGGCACCCTAAACACTAAAAAGCTTTAGGGGGCACTGGTTGAGCAAAATAGTGATGCCCCCGTTACGTTAAAATCCTGAGCCAGCCTTTGCTTTGACAACCAATGCATAGAGCGAGCGAGTATAAAGAGCTCGGATTATCAAATATGAGCACGTAAGCACCACAACAGCTCATACTACTAATGAATTCAAAGTAAGTCAAAGTCTGCTATATGAATCCTCATTATTTCTATCACCCCATTTAAGCTTATCTCAGCCTAATATCATGAACAAATAAAAATATGAGCATGTTAACACCCTACTCTGGTAATAGAATGAGCAAAATGTCCAAAAAAAATGCTCATCGGCAGGTACTGGCGGAGCCACCTTTAGTCTAAGGGGGTGTCAATTGACACCACTTCGCGGAATATTATAGTGTAGCTTGGTCAAAAAAAATTATGCATATATAATTATATACTATATGTTGAATCCCTTAGCTTTTTCGTGTGTTTACTTCGTTATATTTTGACACCCCTTAGTAAAATTCTTGAATTTGCTGGCTTCGCCATGGTTGGCAGGTATAGTGGAGTCCTGGGCAGCCATACTCATGGGAATCTCATCAGGTTCAATACCCTGGTTCACTATGATGGTTCTGCACAAGAAATCAGCATTTTTCCAGAAAGTCGACGACACATTAGGAGTCTTTCACACACATGCAGTAGCAGGCCTCCTAGGAGGAATCCTCTCTGGATTCTTTGCTAAACCTAAGCTTCTGAGGATGTTTTATGGCTCAGACAAATATGGTCCAGGCTTTCTCTACAGCATAATTGATGGAGACATTAAGCGCGGGATTCGTCAAATGATTTATCAGCTTCTTGGTGCTGCATTTATCACAATATGGAATGTTACCGCTACGAGTTTGATATGTATTTTTGTAAGTCGAATAGTTGAGTTAAGACTACATGAAGATGATCTTGAGATTGGAGATGATGCTGTTCATGGCGAAGAAGCTTATGCTTTGTGGGGTGATGGAGAGAGAGATCCACCTCGCTTTAACAGGACTCCTAAAATCCCTTCTTTTTGCCGACGCCAATATGGAACAACTCAATAGAGAGGCGAATTCAGAGTCTAGAGTATTAAGAACTTGTCATGTTAAGAGGCGAATTCGGAATCTAGAGTATTAAGAACTTGCCATGCTAGAGGAGTATTCGTGGTATTGGAGAATGTGTGAACCCCATCTAATAGTACAATCAAACTTAATGAGGATTTGGTTCATCCAAACACGAATACGTCATGGGCATTCCATCTTTCTATGTTCTACAGATTTTGTTTGCGACAATTGAGAGTGAAAAGATTGTGAATACTCAATCCAAAAGTTTGCTTTTAGTTCAAAACAATCAATATAGAGAATCAAAACTAGTAGGAATATCCACCAAAATCCTTACTCTCTCATCCCTAACCACTCTTCCAAACCACGCAAATTAACTTGTTTGCACATGTGTATTGTCTGATCTATGATAATCAAGCTTTTCCCCTTCCGTAAGGGCATACAGGGAAGAGGGCCCTCAGCTATTGAGAGGATTCCTATTGTCTTTCTTTTATTTACGGGAGTTTCTTGTCCCCACAGCCCCCGGAAGTAAGACCGCCGGTAATCTCTTGAGCGACCACCTTTTTGTAGACCTTTCTCCTATACCATCACCCCTCATAATAACCACATTAAAATGTTTCTCCTCTGTTCACTTAAAACCCCAATGCCTTTCAAGAAATTCCAGGTCTCAATCTCTACTTTCAAATATACATTGATGTTTAAGGTGATTCAGGCCGGCAGTCAGAAAAAATCAAGAGTTCATGCACTGGGTGCCCTAGGTGAAAACTGGTGGTGTGTGCTTGTCAAGGTTGAAGGAAGGAGATGACAATAGAGTCTTGCCTTGTCTGCATGAATTTGATCATGAATGCGTTGATAGGTGGTAAAGACTTTAGGAGCAACCCATCCTTTGACTATTCATGAAAAATCAAAGAAAACAAACTGATGAAATTATCCTTTGACTATTCATGAAAACCCAAAAATAACAAACTGATGAAAAGATCAATTTTCAACTTTCAGAAATTTAAAAACCTCTTCTGCCATAGGAGGTTACTATTACACCCGAAGAGATAAAAAGAGATACAGATGCAAGCATTACGGAAGGAAATCACAATATCATGAATAAGAAAGAAGGCTCTGGCACACATAACCAAGAAAACGACATTGCAAAACACAAATAATACTTGACATAAACAACAGTATAATTTAAACAATCAGCTAGATGCGAGCATATCAGGCACTACAGCACACATACATTCGTTGATTGGTAGCATAAGACCTAAATCTAGTCCAACCAAACGCATAAAGATCCTTACAAACAGTTTTCCCTTGTAATTGGGGTACCAGTAACCAGATGCTTTGTCGACGTCCTCCTATCTACCACCACGAGCATAGTTCCTTTCATAAGGGGAATATGACCTGGATCGTTCCCTTCTTGACCTTCCCCCATAAGGTGAGCGCCTAGGAGAATAATCTCGTCCACCTCGATAAGGTGAACGCCTTGGAGATCTTCTGTGCCCGTAGTCATCACGGCCGCGATACCTACCACGGTCACCTCGGTCACCACGAAAACCTTTGACCATAGAAAAACAATCCTTCAGGACTTCCAATATTTAGCCCAAAATGACAGAAACTAGTAGAAAATGAGAAAAGACTCACCATCACCCCTTGCGTTCTTAAGCCCTAGATAGTGACCAGGCGTTGGAGTCCTCGGGCGTTTCCTCCGAGACTGAAAAATAGACATATGGTTTCATAATCTGAAGTCTAAACACATTCACATTTACATCAAGGAAATAGATGGAATATCTAGACCAGACAATATACTCCTTGTTTGTAGTAAGCATGAAGATAACATTTCTCTAAAATCCAGCAAAGAAAACAGTTGCTTACCTTCCCCTTACATGCTAGGTAAGGAAGTTGGCAAAACAGATAACTATATTCTTTATAAATAAGTATAACATCATGCTAGTCGTACAGTAAAGCAGCTTAGATATTTTGGCATGTTCCATCCAAGCAAAAAATTGTGGGAGACAGAGACCAATGCTGGATTAGATTGTTGATAATGACCGTAGATTAGTTGAGAGTAATTGCTGAGGTTGTATAGATGTTGGACAATATAGTTGCTATGTCTAGTTGATCAGATGCATGTGAAAGCTGTTTTAGCGAGCCATTGGTCAAGCTGAGTGAATATAATGTTGCAGGGGAAGAACAGATCATCTTTGATCGCTGCTGACAAAGCTGATGCAATGTCTTCTGAATATAACCAGAAAACCTCCAAGTTAAGAACACAAAAAAGCAATCTAAATGGACATGGTTCACTAGCTCAATACAAATCAGCTCACCTTCTCCACTGTTATGTAGCGGCCTTCAAGGACAGACTGATTTAGGTGCTTAATGCAACGCTCAGCACCCTCAAGACTATCCATCGTTACAAAAGCAAAACCACGAGAGATGCGGGAACGCGGCTCCACAACCAGGAAAACTGATTTCACCTGGTGGATAGAAAGTAAAAGAAAACACTCAGAGCATGTTCATATATTTGAGAGATGGACAAAGGAAAGTGAATCCAGCCAAAGTGCCACCACCACAATTCATTGGTGTACATAATAAAGACATTACTCGTATTGTCAACTTAAAAAAAACTAAATAAATAAATAAATAAATAAGCGGTTGTTAACAAGAATATCAAAGAACTTTCTTTGGAAACATTAAAATTACACAAATAGGATTATAACGTGAATGCAACCTCTGACTCCTGAGTTTGTGAGATCAGTTCTTAGTAAGACCTCGTTCATCTTCATGTTTTCTTTGGTTGATAACGTAATTCAAAAAAGAATTATTTTCTACGATTCTTGAACTATTCCTGAGCTAAGAAAATCAGATACAGAAGAGAGTGATATTGGGAGCTCCAGACTCTTACAGCAACTCTAACATCATATTATTTCCAATTAATTGCATACCGTTGGTGTTGTGGTAATTGTTCATTTACTCTCATAGTCAACTACACCGTGCATGTATTCTCCATGATAACGACAATGAATAAGCTGACAGAGACTTGATCAGATCTTACGAAATATATCAATCGAGAAAAAGCAAAAAGAGTAAAAGACAAGAGAAAACACAGGGAGATTGGATACCGAGATGTGCCTATCTGAAATTAGATTATTGTCGATTTACAAAAAGTAAAGCCTTCTATTGAGATTTCTCTGATCTCCATCCTCTCTAGCTAATTTCTTTTTGTTTTTGTGCTTATTCAACCCTTTTCAGTGAATTGAAATTATTCTCGGAAGAAAACGAACAAAAGAAAATATATCGCAAAAAAAGATTTATTTTGCAGTTAGTGAAAACCCTTCAAAGCTATGAAATAGGAATAGGAAAGTGCAGAGGGAACTTTTCTTTAACATCCATTTAGGATAGAAATTTGTAGAGCAAAAAAGGATGAATAAGAAACTGACTGGCATACAAGTAAATACCAACCTTTGCCTCCTTTGAGAAATGCTCCTCAAGGTCCCTTTGTGTCACCCTTGTAGATAAACCAGTCACATAAAGTGTGACACCAGGATTAGATGGTTCATCCCTGAATAAGTTATGGAGGAACGAAATTTTAGCAACTTACAACAAGATATTAACACAAAGAAAACATAACACATAGGATATTAAGCAGCACTACAAGAAGAAAGACTTGGGCAGAGAAAAACTCAAGTTCCAACGAACCTCCCATGACTTCTCGACCTTGATCTGGACCTGGATCTTCCTCTAGGCCTTGACCATGATCTAGACCTTGACCTAGATCTAGATCTTGCCTTTTCCTCCCAAGGAGAAGGAGAGCGCGAATACCTAGAAAGTGCAGAAATTGCAACATTAAATCAGTTCAATAACAATCATAAAAACAAACCACATCTTACCAGCAAATGTAGACCAAGAAAATTTAATATTTGAAATAGATGCTACAACAGAAATACTCAGTACTAGCGTGAAATTAGAGAACTCACTTGAATTAGAAAAAGTACAGAAGATGCAACTTCGTAATGGAGTAAATGCTTTTCAGAAATGCTATACTACCATGATTAATCTTAAAAACAATTACTCCTCAATCATGAGCAAGTTAGGGTAAGCTATACAGTTAAGCTTAAGATCATAAGATGAATGACTAAATACCGAAAAGATAGAGCTTGAATTGTATCTAGTGAACACCTTCCATCAATCAATGAAACCAGTTATTTTCAGTCACACCAGTTCCTTGGGGTTTAACGCAAACTCTTCATTCACTTTGAGAGGCAAATTAAAGTAGGATTCATCCTTCCAGTACCATTAACTAAACAGGATATACATCCACCCAAAAAACATGTAGATGTAAGATAGCTACAAAAGCCACTACCAACCAGAAACAATATCCAATTAACAAAAATCTAGCCACTAATTCAAAACTTTTTGCTTCAATATTCCTTATGGTCTACATCTACCTCTTCCTTGAATCTCTCTAACACATTCCTCCACATCATCACAACCATTGCAAGCCTACGTAAGAGATAAGGATTGCAGTAGGCTGAGTGCAGCGTAAAAATAGTATAACTACTCCTCTAAAAGCTAAAGGGCCTTGAGAAAGCAAAATGGATGCAAAGGATTCACATAGTTGACCCCAAAAAATTTCATGTCCATAATTCCTTTTTTTTTCACTAAATTTTTTTCTTCAAGTGTGCCTTTATTCACTTTGACCCACGTTAACTGCACTTTGCGCTAAAAGTCCCATGTACACTTTTAACCCTGATAACACAGGCTCCCGATCCACTGGAAGATATATTAGTCATCTACATCATTAAAATTCCACACAGTCAATCCTGATCCCTCATACACGACCTTCCTTTTTGACAGGTAAATTAAGAATCAAATTCCAAGAGAACCAAAACTATGGTTTTCTAGTCCTATAGTTGAAGATTCAAGTACCATAGGTGGAATAGATCGAGCTGTTCTACCATTTAGTACTATGGCAAATTAGGAAAGAAATGGTTTGAAGGGACAAAGAATGTCAATTTCCTTCTGTCTTGTCATATTACTGCTAGTAGATCTAGATGATAAATGGTAGGGACAAAGGAAGACGGGTTACCTATCACAGAAAGAGCAAATAGAGAAGGGTTCAAATCTGTGGGAAGCAAGGCTAATAACAAACCACACACTCCCATCTGTGGGTCAAATGAAAGCCATGTATCTGCCTAGACAAGCATCTACCTCGCTCGGGAGTAATAAGATACTTCAATAAGAATTAACCATAGCCAATTCTCCATCAGCCAAGTCATCCAATTCAAAGCATCTATATTCAAAGTGGAAAATATATTTTTTATAACCTAGAAATCCCCGAGAGACCATGGTGCACAGTTCGAAACTCGAGAAATCCCCATTCAAGTACCAGGCTTTGTGTGCGATCTTACCACCCGACCAAAATCCTAGGGGCAAAGTAGAAAATACCTTTACATACAGAAAATAACTTTAATATAGCTAAGAAGCATCAAATACAGTAAACAAAAAAATCACAAAAAGCCATCACACAGAAAACAATTAATAGAACCATTTTTCACTTTTCACGTGAAGAAGTAACCCTAAAAAGCACATTCAGCAGCGCGAAACAGATGAGAATTCCTACCTACAAATCAGAAGTGCAAAGCACAGAAAACATCTTCAACAAATATACGAAATGAAAATTAAGGTAAAACGGAGTAAGAGAGATGGTAGAATACCTTTTTCCAGGAGAATCAGCCTGCAAAAAATCATAAACATCTTCAGTTGTTGTATTCGCAATTAATCAGAGAAAATTTCAGATTTATAAATTCATGAGAGATAAATGAGAGAAGAGAGAGTAAGAGCACTTGCCATTTCCGCACAGAAAAGCAAACCCTAAATCGCCAAAACGGGGAGCGTGTTTTTGTGTAAGACCGTTTTTGAAGAAGGTCATGCGTTTTAAGTTTGGTCCCATTTCTCTTTTACAGCGAAAATTACAAGAACAGTCCCTTATGTTTTGAGATAGGTCTATAATAGTCTTTCAAATATACACTTGAACAGATTGGTCTCTTAAATTTATCAAAAGTGAATACTTTTGCTTTCCTATAAGTATTTAACAAATTGTGGTGGTTAGATTTATGGAGAACTATACAAGAAAAAATTTTAATCAGAAACATCATGAACGTCTTGTTATATCCCAAAAATTGCAATGTCAAAAACTAAAACAAACACCGAAAAAATGTCAAAAATAATAAAAATTGTATCTCAATAACTGTGTGAGACACCAGAAATATCTAAGGATAGCATAAACTACACATACATATATAAGTTCTTTAATTTTTTTGTCATAGTTTCTATAAAAATCTAATAATCATTGTTTGTTAAATACTTAACGGATACCAAAATGCTCATTTTAAGCAAACTGATAGAATCAAAATTGATAAATGGTCTTTAACCTACCCCAAATCAAAAGGGACTGTCTTTGTTATTTTCTCTTCTTTTGCACATATTTTATGTTTAATTATTATACAATTGCTAAATAATCTTTAACCTACCCCCAATCAAAAGGGACTACCTTTGTTATTTTCTCTTCTTTTGCACATATTTTATGTTTGATTATTATATAATTTCTAGATAATCATACTTCGGCCTATATTTACAAGAAGTTTAGGTAAATCCATTTAAATTACGTGTATGTCTCTGGCTTCTGTAGAATATTACTTTCCCTATTGACTTCTCGAGGTTGAAATGAAGGAGATTATAAGGCATTACTAAGTAGTTTGTATCTTCCTTCTAAATTACAATTTTATATCATGGTTAAGATGAAATTTTGAATTAATATGCATGTTTTTCTAAAATTAAACCATTGACGATATCAAGTTTTAGAATAATACAAATTAGCATATCAAGAAAAATGAAAAGAATGGCGTTTTGTTGTTTTGTAGGTAATGCTCGTTTGAAGCACGTCAAGGAGCTGAATTTTTTTAAATACAAAATTATTCATGTCCGGATTCTGTTAATATAAATATGACCAAAAAAGGCCTATATTGTTCTCAATGAGAACTATGGAAGGACATAGTTCAAAATAAATATATCATGAAAAATTTTATTTTTATATTGCTGAAGATGCGAGCCAACTTACTAGCATTTTGGCTATCTTATACTATATATTATTTCTCACCAGTAGAAGTACACATTTTTTATCACTGTTGGAAATTGAACTCTTGTATCTTATAATTGTCGCTCATTTCATTAATCTCTTGGCTCACTCTTGAATGATTTGGAAAATCTTTAATTTCTTAAAAATGATTCGACGAGCATAATTTTTTTTTAAGTTTTACATTCCGTGTCCGATATTTATTTTGGGCCCGACTAATCAAGATTTTTGTCGATATTGTTAGGCTTAGTCATTTGCATAGATGTTGTTAGGTTTGTCATTAGCCCGAACTCGTATTTTTTATTTTAGCTGAATAAATTGACGAGTGTGCAAGTTGCTACTGCTAGTGAAAAGTATAAAATAATCATGGCAATGGGTTTGTAGACACAATAGTAGTATCATAGATCAAATTCTAGCTGGAGTTGATCGGTTAGGAAAACGGATTTAGATTCTAAACTTTTTTCCCTTCCTTTCCTTTTTTTTTTTTTGGTTATAATTCTTACGGAGGACTGAAGTCTTTCTTCAATCTAACCATCCGATATTCGGAATTCACTGACACAATTAATTTAATGCTATTGTAGGTATGTAGTGGTGAGAAGAATATTGTTAGGCAAAATACATACTTTACTCATCGACCTTGTACCCAAATCCCTCTTAATACCTGTTAAATGCGGGAATAATATTGCACACCAAAACTTTTAAAGGTGTGTCAATTACACACCACTTCGATGTTTGACCACATCTGCTTAAAGATTGCTATAACACGCGCCAATCAGCATCTGACACAAATCGAGAAGAAAAAAAACTGAAAAATAAAACCTCTGTCCCCCCGCCCCCCCCCCCCCAACCCCTCTCCTCAATCTTACCCAAGAAAAAAAATTCGAAAGGAACCCCCCCCCCCCCCCATCTTCCCAACCTCATCATCTTCTCCGCCACCACCATACTACCACCAACCCTTCCACCGCAAGCACCTTCTTCCCAAACTATAGATTCAATTCTTTGCCGATTAACAAGTTTTAACAACATTCATCACAAATCCTTATACAAATTTCAAATTCATGTTCAAACCCAAAGCTTCAAACTTGTTAATGGTGTTTTTTTAATTTTATCAAAATTAATCACCAAATTTTCAGCATATTTTTAGTAAATTTTTACTCAACAATAATCACGAATTCAAATTAATTTTCTAGATCATGGAGTACCAAAATCAACAAGACCCGATTAAATTTTCAAGCTTTTCAAAAGGTCAATAATTGTGATTTTTACAAGACCCAATAGCTCCCCTTCTTCTTCTTCTTCTTTTTCTTCTTCTTCTTAGTCATGGGGGTTGGAGAGGCGAAACATGAGGGGGCAGACAAAACTAGGATGGGGATTGGGAAAGAAGACGAACAGGGAGGGGGGGAGCGCTGGGGTTTGGGTTTGAGAAAGAAGACATGGGTTGATATTTTTTTTTTCTTTAATTTAAAAAGAAAATAGTTAAAAAACGGAAAAATTAAAATAAAAACTTAATTTCACATGACTTTTTTAGTTTTCACGCGCCTCTTTTACGTGTAATACACGCGTGTGACATATGTCAAAAGAGGTGTGTAATTGACACACTTTTAAAAGTTTTGGTATGCAATACTATTCCCGTATTTAACAAGTGTGTAAGAGGAATTTGAGTGCAAGGTCGATATTGAATTCGGATACCGGGTCGCTTTATGTGGGCTGGACCACCGTATTTGGGGAGAGATAGAATTTAGGAATAAAATAACTTCTCTAGATAAGTTACTACACGTTTAGGTGTAGTTGAGAGCAGTTAATTCCTTTCTCTTTAAAAATTGATTTAGTCTTCTTCCTCAGATGGGTAAGAACGAACAACAAAAAAGGAATTACTCTCCCTTCCTCTTTAATCTTCTTCTTCCTTAACAGAGAAGGTTTTTTTTTCTTCTTTTTGCAAAACACACAAAAAAAAAAGATATTTAGTTTGTATAACTAAAGTTTATTTTCCAAGAGAATCAAAGTTGGACTTAGGTGTAATTTTTTTGGGTTGTGATTTTACTCCGTTGCATAACATGTAATGATTCTAATTTTGTTCTTACTATATTTATTTAACAATGGTATCAGAGCATTCGTTTTGTTTTCTGTTTATATGAATACACTGTCAAAGTTTATACGCTTCTTAAAGTAAATTCGTTGTTTCCCTATTTTTTATGGATAAACTACTGTAAAGAAAAATATTTTAAGAAAATAATCTTATTGCAGTTCCAAAACTAAATTGGATGTGTCGGTGTTTGGCCTTAAAGCAAGACTAGATTTTATCTTCATTCCATTCTAATATACTAGTGGCGCTGCTCTGAAATTCTTTTGGGTTTGATAGAATTTTCAGCGTTAAATTTCATAATATTGTTAAGTTAAAGTTTAGACCCCACATTGATTATAAATTTTTATAAAGTATATTTGAATATGTGGGTGTTCTTTGACCATTGTTTTCTAAATAATGCCGAAAGGCTAATACTAAATTATATTCTTTCAGAACTTTGGAATATTTTTTTGTTCGTTGACGACAAATACCGAAACATAATATTCGGCCAATATCAGTTTGTTCTATGTGGACACCAAAATGGCAGTGTTTGTAAATAATTGTCTTTTAGTTTTTTGTTTTTATGGTTTGGTTGATATTGTTCAAAGAAGACAAGGTAAAAATATACAGAATCTTTTATATTGGGACAAGATTCTGAGATAGTGAATGATTATTGAAAACCAGAATATGAATTGTTACTTATTTAAAGTAATGATTATAAGAACTTCAGCATTCTTAGTATGAAAAATTAGTTTAGTCATAATCCCTCGATTGATATTCTTCTACGAGTTGATTGTGATATTTTTTGTCATATTGAATGATAGTTACCATTCTTATTATTATCATGTTCCTATTTTAGATATGTCTGGACGAGAACAAACTCGAATTACTCCAAGTGGGAGTTCACGAAGTCGAGCAAGGGGACAACGTAAAAGGATGCGTCGTTGCAGGATTTATTTCTGTAATGTTTCATATTTGAAGTCTGAAATCATCAGGAATGTCCCAAGAGCGAGGCAAAATGAGTTAAGGGAACGAATGTTGACCGGAGGGAAGGAGAAGAAATTTAGGGAATTTAAGAAATTTAAAATGGGCATTGATGCTTTCATTCCTGAACATGTACACTTTTTCAGTTAAAAAGAGCTGAATTATCTAATTACATTGAGATTACTGATTGGGAAGCATTAGCTGTTTTAGCGGAATCTATTCGATAGCCTTGGGGTGAAGTTTTAACTGACATTTATCATGATATTTGGCCTAGTGACACTGTTATTATGTATTTTATTTCAATGAAATTTAAATTTTATAATTTGTGTGACAAGTTACATATATAATTATTATTTTATTTTGTAATGGATTGAGACTTGAAATGAAGCACACACTAAGAAGTGATTTAATATTAATTAAAATATTCAGTTATAGATGATGAAAGAAAACGTAGTGACATTTCGATTCTATACTAAATTTAAAATAAATATTATAATTAAGTTGCTTCAGTGTGTAATCACATGCATAAATTGACTAAAGTATATATTAATAAGTTAAACTTGTAAATTTGTCTCTATTAACAAACATGGCATCAAAAAGTATCATTGCTGACTTGAACAACGGTAATAAACTGAATGGTGAAAATTACGACATCTAGAGTCGTAAGATATGGTATGTACTCGAAGAGCAAGATGCTCTTGAAATTATTAACCATGTTATGGTCACTCAGAGGAGGGTAACACTGCTCAACAT